AAAAGCAAATAGATTGAGCCTCCCATGCTCGAACATGGAAAGTACAGTTTGCAAAGGATGATACATATGGTGGACATGATACTAATTGCAGAAGAAAGATAAACGCAAAACGAATTGGTAACGGGAGGAGTAGCCTACTATGTTTTATAAACTAGGGTCAGTTACCTATATAATCAATGTGGGACAACTCACCATGCCCCCTCACTTGATCACAATCGATTAATATAGAGTCGTCAAATGTCCGAGTTCAGGTCTACTCTAATACCACGTGAGATTTTATATATTGGGGGACGGGATGCAGTCCATAGGAGTGAACCGCACCCTAAGAGGGCAAGCACAGTTGACACCATAGTGAGATTCCATTACAAAACCAATTGTTGATGGGAGGAGTAGCGCACCAAACTTATAAACTAGACTCATTTTTTTCCGTTCAGTTAATGTGGGACAACTCATAAGTGATATTCCAACAACATAGATGGATCAAACAACTTAGATACTTTCCTGGAAGGAACTCATCCACAAAAAGGAATGTTCATGCTTTGATGTAACAAATGATTCAAGCAAACAATTTCGTTGTATTTTAACAGCTCAAATAGACTTGCATACCGGAGCATGAGTGCTTAAAAAATGTTCCTCGGCAGATTTTTTTGGAATCATATCACCACATACTTTACATTTTTCCAGATTCCGGGAGCAGTGAGCAATATGCAAGTCAAAATTGGGAGAAGGAATTGCTCTGTCACTGCAAATGAAATTATAAACAAGGTGAAATCCCACAAAAGTTGTACAAACAAACATTCTAAAGCAAGTCAGCCAAAATAGTTTGACTACTGTACCAACGGGTGAACAAGCAAGTTCATTACAAACTAAGATTTGGGCTTATTTCAGAATACAAACGGACAATGCAAAACTATTAAACACTAAATTAGATTTTGAATTGCTTTACTCAAATATCAAATTGCTAGAACTCAACAATAACTTTCAATATTCGAGGTTTTTCATTTGAATTTAATTTTTGTCAGAGAGTGTAGCCTATTTTACAACCCGTTCATTTGATAAAACTGGCACCTTGAGTATTTCATTATGAATGGACAGAACATGATCAAATCTATATGAAAATATGAAAATGTGCTGAGTTTAACATCAAGAATTTCCTGCATAGGTAGAGAATTAAGCATAAGTACTAATCAGTAAACATACAAACTAGTTAAGCAGCTAAAGGTGCCTTTGACAGATTTCCAGACAATATACATCTATTTAATAAAGTTTTCCAGCTGAGGCATTCCTTATTAATAGGCAGAAAATGATCACATAGCCATTTGGAAAGGTAATGAGAAGTAGAACTTCAAGAATTTCTTGTGGTGCTTGAATCATACTTATCCAGGAAACGTACCAAGTATGCTAAAGCAGCCAAGGGATCCACTTACACTGCTTATTTATAAACGATTACCAGTTACGTTAAAAAATAAAATAAAATTGTTCGGCAAACAGATTTTAAGAAATATAGTATCAATGTAAAACTCTAATGTACAGAGCTACATACCTCCAAACTATAAAGCAAAGACATGAAAAAGAACCAAGTATAGAGGCAAGTATCTTCTTTTCTATCGCATATTTTGCATGCAACTGCTGCAGAGTTACACAGACACATTTGGAATAAAAAATATCTATTATAAATTCTGTGTTTTATGCACATGAAAAATTTCAAGAATTAGTTAATGGAGGATACTGCCCTTATACCCTCAAAAGTCCATTAGGAACTTAAAATCAGAAAATGTACAAAAAAAAAAAAAAA